CAGTCGTTTTTGGATCTTTTTCAGCAGAATCTTGCTTGCATGTGATATTAATTATATTGTTCAATAATTTCACACTCTGTTGGGTCACATTTCTTTGGAATGGGAACAAATATCTGTCTCTTCCAGTCAGTTGGCCAGCTGGCTGTCCTCTAGATTTCTTGGCACAACTTAGTGACCACATCCAGGGCAGTGTCTGTTTGTTGAAATATGTCAATTGGTGTGCCATCATCTCCTGGGGCCTTGTTTTTTGCCAATTCTTGCAGAACAACTTGAACTCCCTCCTTCCTCACCACAGGCTCTTGCTCATATGTTATTCTTTAAAATTCTTTTGTGTCAGCCAATTCCTTCTGATACAGTGACTCTGTATACTCCTTCCATCTAGGGTTCTGAAAACTTTTGAGTTGATACAACTGTTGGTCTCCATTGATCTGGAGTGTAAGCTCAAAGAAACAGCTAGTCTGCAGAACTAATAACCCACATAAGCCACAGCTTCATCTAGCATGAGAACTCAGTGCTTCCTAGACCACTACTAGCTATTCTGACCAGAGACAAAATAGTTAGTCCTGGATAAAATGAGAGGAGAATAGATTAAAAAACTGAAATTCTTAAAAACAGGTTAGACCTGTGTAAGACCATATTGTGAAAATAGAGGGATAACTCGTAAAACATGCATGGGAGCTCAAGGAGTGGGAGTGGAGGAGTGAGAATGAGTAGGGGCAAAACCACAGGGTTGCAGAGTTTGGTGAGTAGTGGGAGGGGAAGGAAATGGGAAGGATCCGGGTGAAAAGAAAGGATAATGATGGGCAAGGTCCAATGGTGATTAATTGTAGAAAACATAGTGCATGTGAATGATCATTTGAAACATGATGTGAATGAAGAATAGTGTAAAACACAATGTACATGAACTTTGTAAGGAAACCAATAATTTAAAAAAAAACCCCAAACATACAGTAAAACCTCAACAACCCAGACTTACTAAACCAGTTGAGACTCTAAGAAGCCCTGAAGCTGTTACTCTAAGATCTAAGATCCTATTTAACCCTGAAACTGAAGCAGTTGCATGAGATCACCTTTCAGCTAACAGATTGACTCATCAGATAATATCTCACCCATGAGTCCTCTTTGAAAAATCATATATGTGAGACCAGTCAACATTTACCCTGAAGCAAAAATAAGGAGGAACAGAGAAACTATATTACTAGAAACAAAACCACCAGAGTAGAAATAAGGCTAATAAAACAATATGTGTAGAATTGTTAAATGGGGCCCTTAATTGCTATGTAAACTTTTTTTTTACTTTAATAAAAATTTATTAGCAGCAGTGTATACTGTATTCTTATGCAACTGAGTAAACAATCACAGCACTTTGCTGATTCAGATTTTGAGGAACCCAGGCTGAGATAATCTCTCAGTGAATGTCAGACTTTCTTTGAGGTGGCCAGACATGTTAGATGGAGTATTTATAATCATCCTTGCAATTAAAATTATGATTTGAAATGGAGAATAATGCACAATATTCAAGACCAATATATTAATAAAATCAAAACACAAATTACTACATAGATTTTCACAAAGTAAAGGGGTGGTAGATTCGTAGAAAGAAAAAGAAACAGTGCTACTTTATTAAAATACTGGGTTTATTTCACATGTATATTTTTGTTTCCCCACCATTTCCATTTGACCATTTAGCAGTCTGACCACTGCTACTACTTTGTCCTATCATAACATTCCATACATACTTAAAACCAAAGCAAAAGGTGGAGTTCCATCTTTAAAAACTAAACAGGCATCTTGGACAACACATTCTTGGCAAAGAAACCTGGACAACATTTATCAGACAAGGTAGGGAAAGTTCTCACTCAGCATTATAAAAAAGGATAGCCTGATATCAACTGTTACAGAAATGAAATAAGACAGAAAATTTTAACAAACTGTTTTAACAAACTATTTTCTTAAAGAGACTTCCTCCACTGCCAGAGATCTTGAATTAGCCTCCTTGTCTGTCATCCAGAAGCAATTCTTCACATAATTGATGAATTTGGCTTCCACTTTGGGAAGAGAACCACCTTTTTCTATACTTGCTTGCATTTTTGCTTTAATGTCTTCTACAGAACTAGGTCCTTTTGGAGTTTTGGGAGTTTTTTCCTGTTTTTTGAAAGATTCTTGTCCTTTCGATTGTGGAGTTGATGGTTTTGAGTCTTTTCCATTCTGGTTTTATTTTTGTGCATTTTTGGCTGGAGTATCCCGTATAGATTTCTTCACTGGTGCTTTTTCTTCAAACTCATCATCGTCATCATCTTCATCTTCATCATTGTCATCCTCTTATCAGTGGCAAGTTTCACCTTTTTCTGTGGAATTTTGTTACCACCTGCAGGGGCAGATCTCTTTCCTGATATACTTAAGAGTTTCACATCCTCCTCCTCTTCATCATCTGACTCTGCATCTTCCTCCACAGCTACTAAGTGTTGTCCACTTATATACACGGGCCCTGAGCCACACTTCATTCGTAAGACGAGAGGTGGTATTATTTCAAAGCCCCCAAGTGAAACCGTTGGCTGTACAGACATTTTCAAAGTTGCCAGTGTTACTTTAATTGGGCTGCCCTCATAATTCATTGCCTCTGCTTCAACAATGTGCAATTCATCCTTTGCACCAGCCCCTAAACTGACCGTTCTTAAAGATAACTGGTGCTCATTCTCATCATTATCCACCTTAAAGTGATAATCTTTGTCAGCTTTCAGTTCACAACCAAAAAGGTAGTTTTGAGGCCGCAGGGGGCTCATATCCATATTCATGTCCATATCCATCGAATCTTCCATGGGTTGGTGGCTCACGTTTATGTGGGAGAGGACGGCAATAAAACAGCACTGTTGCAGAGAACAGCCGCACAGGACGGAATCATAGCAGGACGCTATGTAAACTTTTTAAAAAAACACTACGAAATATTGTTGTTGTTGTTGTTGTTGTTGTTGTTGTTATGTGCCGTCGAGTCGCCTGCGACTCATAGCGACCCTATATACAACAGCCCTAAACTCCGCTCTGTCCTGTGCCAGTCGCACTGTCTCCGACACTCCCATCCCAATTATCCCAGTCACTGAATCAATCCACCTCATAGAGGGCCTTCCCCTCCT